ATGCCACAGAATGTATACTGTCCAATTTTGGTTTTCTCCCATATGTTGCAATGTGAGAAAACACAGCACATTTATAGTTTTTGTCCTTGTACTTTTTAGATAATACTTGAAGAGAACTTCAATGTATAGCGTCTTTTTATTGCTGCATTTTTGGACTTTCATTTGGAAACTGGTTTTGTACAAATTCAGCGTTTGGCAAGAAAAACCACATAACTTTTGTTTTAGTTTGGCTCAGACTTATAACGAACCAAAACTGTCAAGTCAGATTCTCACTAACAAAGAGCTGCATAAGCTTTTTTCTCAATACAAAATGTACCCAAATAAGTACAAGCAACGGTAAAGGTTAGAGTCTCAGAAGACGTCACTGTTGAGTTATAAATCAACAACTTTATTGGTTGTTTTTAGCAAGGCCCTTTAATTTTATTGGAATACAACTGATAATTTCACAATAAAATAATGATAAAATATGGGTTAATTTGAGAGGTCTGTGATTAAGAGCATTTACTTAGGTCTAATGAACTACTGTGTTTGACCGGTGTTAAGGTTTATTGACTTAATTATTGCTACATCTACATTTCTAAATCTACATTTAAAAAAATAAATAAATTCAAACAGCAGTAGAAACACTACTACAATATCTATTGATATGTACTGTCACTCATCACACCATAGTACATGCATGTATTTCTAATAATAGTGAGCAATAAAGGTGAATACATTTGAAAGAAATGAAAGACAGGATTAATAAAGTCTGTTGATTCTCTATTCATTAGTTTTCTATAGTATATACGGTGGAAGACATGAACTCCCACTCTTCACTTTAATGTAAAGTAGTATCTAAAAATAAAGATGATGGAGCTGCAGGAATCTGCATTTGTATAAATCAGAGTTCTTCATGTGACACGTGCTGTGTGTGTGGAGAGGTTTTGACTCATTGTTGGGTTTCTGTCTTTCCTGCAGCAGGAAATTGTCTACAGGCAGTGAGGTGAATATACATAGGCAGCAAGATATGATGAGCTGCTGCTCTCAGGGTTAATTTTGTAAAACGTAAA